TTAATGAACCATAGTTATAAATTTTGGTTGTATTGTTGATATATGTGAAATATTCTATGAATGACTACTCCTATTATCTATTTGGTTGATGTTTATGATGAAGTGTTTGAGTCTTGATCTCACTACATGTCAATTATTCTTTTACCTAGGAGAGGGAATATCTCCCTGAGTTCAATAGAGCACCTTAAATCTTTCATTATGGGTATTTTAATGAGTGTGATAATATCCATATCGTTGTATTGGGTGTTGCCCAATCGTGGGAGTTGGTTTTGAACACCTCAACCGCCTAGGTTGGTTGAATGGTACACCTCTTTGGATAGAGCAATTGAGAGGGGTTAGACAACTCGAATAGGGACTCCAACCTAGTCTAGAATTCTTCGCAATAGAAGTGTCGAGTTAATCAATTTAGGGTAGTACTCAACATCGACCAAATGAAGGGATTAGGGAAGATTCATGTCTAAGTGAGCTCCCATCGTGTAATTAGCTAGTGTAGTGGTTAGAGTAGTTAGGTTAGCTTATTGTTTTTATCATTGTCCTTGTTTGGCTAGATAACAAACCTAAGTTGAAGTAATGGTACATCTAGAGACACGTGGATTTGATAATTGTATTACTTTACTTACCTATCCTACACCCGATCATTGGTTATTCTTGGCTTTTGAATGGGAATGTGTAGTTAAAGTCTAGTCAAGTTTTTGGCACCCTGGGGGGGGGGACTTTGAGGTTATTACAAAAAGGTTTTGGTTTTTACTTTAGTCATTTTGTTTTCTTTTCTTTTTACCTTTTTTGTACTTAGTGTATTGTGTTTTGCTGACCCACTCTTCACTCTGAAGGGTGGTTTGTATGTGCATGATTTTTCACCCAAAACCACCCAATCTAGAGTAGTACTCAACATCCGTCCAATTGAGGAGCTAGGGGGATTCATGACTAAGTGAGCTACCAACTTGTAATTATCTAGAGTGGTGGTATAGCTTAGTTAGCTTTATTTCTTAATCGCTATTCTTGTTTAGCTAGATAAAAAAAACCTAAGCTTAAGTAATAGTACATCTAGAGACCCGTGGATCCGATAAATGTATTACTTTACTTACCCTATTCTACACCCGATTGTTGGTTATGCTTGGCCTTCAATTGGGAATGTGTAGTTAGTCCGAGTCAAAATTTTAGCACCATTGCTAGGGAATTCTAAGTTATCGAGAATAAGTTTTGGTTTGCTACTTTAACCGTTTTTGTTTTATTTAATTTTCACCTTTGTGTTGTGTTGTGTTGTGTTGTGTTTGTTATCCTACTCTTCGTCTTGAAGGGTGGTTGCATTTTTTATCTTCATTTTAGTGTTTTTGTTTTTTTAGCTATTGAATCATGGATCATTATGACTTGACCGACATGTGGGTTTATCCACCAATACCCGAGTGTGGTTACCCTAAAGCTTCATGGAGCAACTAAATGGTGGAAGCTAAAGATTCGGGTTATTTTATCAACCTTCATTCCACGAATAACAGCCATACCCATTGGGATTTCAAGAACTCTCCCATATCAAGAAGACTTGCTTCCATAACCAGAGGGAAAATCCGAGTTGGAGATCACCATGGTTTACTTCGTGGCACGTCACTCACCCCCATGTGACACTCCATAACCGGAGCTCATGGTGGAGTAGTTCGTCGGGGGTACCAAGGAAGGATGCTCCAATGAGGACCTTACACCCATCACCTCTATCGACTCATCTCTTTTACGGGCATCAGAGAAAACCCTCCAAAACTTGAAGAGGCTATGAGGGATTCTTGAGCAAGCATATGCACAACTTGCTCATGATCATCTCTTATCATTTTAAGAGAAAGAGGAAGTTGAAGAGGGAATACAAGAGGACTTTGGGAGCAAAAAGAACTCATCCTGGAGAGCTCCAGTGATGATGATGATGAGAAATTAAGTGCTTTGGTGTTGGACCACACCCTTCCATCTTCTACTTTGAGCTTCGGAGAGTTGGGCACAAATGAAGAGGCGAAAGTGGATCTTATTGAAGACATTGTTTGGCAACTTGCTCTTCGTTGTATGCTTGGGGAAGAGCGAAAAAAGGTGAGAAGGGAAGTTGTGGAGGAGAAAGTGAGCATTGAAGAAAAAGATCTTGATTGTTTCTAAGGGGGGGAACAAATTTGGGAAGAAGGAAGGGAGGTTACAAGCGCCACCAAAGCTTTCCACTAGAATTTGATGGCTTCTAGAAATTGACCCTTTTGTAGACCGTCATTAGATCCTCTTGGTGGATATAATGGTGGTCAATCCATGATGTCCTACATATTATGGGGAAAGAGAAGAAAGAACAAGAGGTATAGTGGGTGGAGCCTCAATTCTTAACAAGTCCACGAGCCATCACCATCACTTTTCACACCATATGCTTGGGACTTACGCATCTATATCACCAACGAAACCTCAACTTCATGGAGTTTTTGGGTGGACCAAAACTTGAGCACAACCATCCAATTCATGACGTGAAAGAAGCGTTTGTTGGGATGCAACCCAACCACTCTCGTTTGCACTCTCTTTCACTTTGATTTGGTTTACAAGTCAATAATTCAACCTTTGGGGAACTTGCGGTGTTTTGTATGTTAGCTTTACCGTTCATATCTCATCTGACCTCTTAGTCCCTTTCGCCATCCTTCACACATAATCCGGTAACTTCGTTCTACCCTTTTTATATTTTCTCCATTGAGGACAATATTATGCTTAAGTGGGAGGGGGTTCCATGATGTGTGTTGTGTGTGTGAATGAATGATAAGGGCTTTTTTTAATACTTTGGAGCTTAGATGAATGCCCAAATTTCCAAATTTTGAGGGCTCCATGCATATGTGGATGAATGATGGATTATTTGTGTATATTGTGAGTGTTTTGTAACCTAGATACCCTGTCCAATTGTTCATATTTGATGGTTCCAAACACCTTGTCTCGTGCATGATTCCTACTCATTATACTTGAATTGATTGGATGTTGTGATGGTGCTCTATTTTGAATGTGCTTTTAAATGAAAAAAATGAATGTTCTCACGTGAGATCTAGTCGGTCATAGTGTTTAAGTTAAACCATCAAAGGGCTTTTCTTTTGGACCGAAGTGCCCTTTGAGGGTGTGTTTAGGGATCGGTTAGCTATTTAGTGTCCAACCTTCACCTTCTACCACATCGCCCCCTAAACACCTCTACTACTCACGTGACTTGTCTGAGAAGAGATAGTGTGTCATTGATGTGGATGACCTAACAAACCTCGAGAAAAAATCATCACTCACTATTTAGAGTTTAATTTACTATTTACAAGCCTCGAGGAACAAAGAACAACCCATTAGAATGGGGCAAACAACTTAATCATTTGGTCCTCCTTTGCGAGACTTTAAACTCTCTTCCTTGTTGTATGAGAGCAGGGTGGTTGTCTCGTCGTTGGTTGCTTGCCTCTTATCCCCGAGTTTGCTGTTGGGTTGCTCATTCTCGAGTTCCTGCTCTGGCTTTCTCAAGTTGTTGATTTCCTAGTAGGTGCCTCATCTCGGTTGGTGTTTGCCTTTGATGTCGTCCCCTTCAAGCATCAAGCAGGTTGCATGTGATTTATAGCTTAGTTAGCTTAATTTCTTAATCATTACTTGTTTAGCTAGATAAAAAAACCTAAGTTTGAAGTAATAGTACATCTAGGGCCCCGTGGATCCGATAATTGTATTACTTTACTTACCCTTTGCTACACCTGATCATTGGCTATGCTTGGCCTTCAATTGGGAATGTGTAGTTAGTGCGAGGCAAGTTTTTGGCGATGTTTTCGGGGAAACCCGAACTATTAACTTTGTGTCATATGACATTTTTGTCCTAAACTATTTTTTCGTTATAGTTGACTGGCGTTGACCGTTAGTTTTGAATTAGTTGACAGGTCACGACTGATGTGTCTGCCGACATGGATTTTATTATTTACTTCCTCCCTCCTTTATTTAAATGTCAAATTAACAAAAAACCTCAAATGAAATCAGGGTTTCACCCGAAAACTAATTCACATTTACCCCTTCCATCGACTTCCAGAGGTTTACCCCCAAAAACTCACGAACTCTAACATCTTTCTATTCTCCTCCAGTCGAGCAGTGAGGAGTCGATTCATATGCTTCGGAGGCTGTCAACATCTGGGACAGCGGGCGGGGGCAATCCTTTTAGGGCAGCAGCTTCGACACCTTCGTCTGACCCGGCTCGACTCGCTACCCCATCCTCGGTTTCTTCCGCAAATATCATCGGCGACCCTCGTGAGTGCTCGTATCGTCGTCTTGGGAGGAGTAGATGATGCCTCTACTAGCAAAGGTCTTCGACTGAATGAAGTAGAGTTTCGCCCAAAATTTTTAGGGTTTTGGTGCGAAGGAGCGTTTTCTGTTTTCTCTGAGTTTTGGATGTATTTGAAGGCTGATTTGGTAGTTGGGAAGCAAAAGTGAGTGTGCAAATCATACAAGAAAGTAAATGTGGTAGCTGCGAAGTGGCTTTGTTGTCGTTGCTCCTCGAGTTCATGTTCTAGCTTCCTCAAGTTGTTGGTTCCCTGGTGGGGGCCTCATCTCGGTTGGTGTTTGCCCTTGCTGTCGCTCCCTCAAAGCACCAGGCAGGTTGCATGTGGTTTGTTTGAGGTGGTTCTGCCTTTGTCTTGTATTGGGCTTGTTGTCTCAGCTTCTGGGTTTGTTTTTAGTGGGCTCCAGACCTTCATTGGGCTTGCCCAACAACTTAATCACTCACCTAAAATCAATGTTGTAGTAGTAGTTTGATCCTCATTCATGATTTTTCCGAGACTGGGAAAGGAAGTGATCTTGTGTGTTTGAAATCATTGATACTATTGATAGACAAAATCATTTATAAAAGCCTGAACCTCCTGATATATAGCTTCAATCATGCTATGCTACTGATGTCTTCTAGATTTGGCAGAGGGCAAACTAACAAAACGGTCATTGCAACCTACCAAAATAATAAATGAATTTAAGATTTAACAACCAAAAACCACTCAAAGGCACCAACACTTTCTGTAACTTGCCCAGACAGGTTAAGCCATTGCAAACGTCAGAATCTATTTTCACATGAACACCGGCATTGATGACAGGTATCTGTCTCCCGCCTAACAACTAGTTTTCCCGATGCAGATAAGACATCAAAATCCATGACCAAAAGAAACAAGTTCTTTAGCAAATGGCCATTGCGAACAAGCAGGTGCAGAAAGTTTGCCCCCGCGTTCCAAAATGCCCATAACAGAATCACAGAAACAGAAGGCGTGGTGTCCAAAGAATATGCTAACCAACAAAGAAGCTGAATTTCTTTCTGCCTCCGCCGTCTGTCTGCCCATACGCTGCTGCCATTTCAGACCTACTCCAGTTTTTTCACCAGCGGCTGTCTGGTCTGTTGTAGATTATGAGAAAAGTCCCATAAAGTTGTTTGCATATGCCATGGGCTTCACTTGAGGGTGAGGCTGTGAAATACAATATAAGTCATAAGCAAGAGAGAACAGAAGCTGAAATATAGCGATAATAGCATTTGCAGGACCAAGGGTACTGACAACTGCTGAGAATGTAATTATTTCTGGCTTCATATCGGGAGCCGTGAATCGAATGAAAGCACCCTTGTTACCCATCTGCAACAAGCCAAAACGAGGAGAAATGCATATGACATGAACATCGTAACAAGCTGAAGAAAGAGAAAATCCATTGTCCTAGTGACGGAACAACCACGGAGTTGGAACATTACCTGATCGCAGTAATTGGGGGCAGAAAACACAGTAATAAGTTTACCATCATGTTCTACCTCATATCCTTCATCCTTCACTTCGTGAGATCTCAAGACCAAATCTGCAAATTAAGCAGTTTCATTATTAGGGAAGAGCAATGCATACACACATACATACATATACAATTGAAAGGAAACAAATGAAAGCAGCAGAGCCACCTTTTCAGATAATTTTTTTACCTAGCTTATTTTCCTCAAGAAATCGTTTAGTCACATCACCACCGAAAGAAAGACCCACGCCTCGTTTACTAGGACCCCTTCCTGGGAGAGGTTGTGGATCACTCCACAGCAATTCACACATTAGCCCTGAAGACAAAATCAAAGGAAAAGTAGATTGTTTGTGCATTGTCAGTTACTGAGATGATACTAACAATAATGGATCGTCCAAGTTGGACACAGTTCCAACTCTTTTGGCCCCATTCATCAAACATGTCTAACTGGTGAGTGAAGGGCACGGAATTATTTCTTTTCGCATGTTAGCAACGGCAACATAGTAACAACACACTGAGCACCGAAGGGGTATACCAGCACTCTCTCTCATGATTCCAAACTAAGCCACTAAACAGAAACTAATGTTGCAGATAATAAAGATGGCAAGAATGCACATGAATCTCACCTTCCTCAGGAGGCTCGCAGAATCTATCTATAGCTCTAATATCAGATAGCTTAACTCCATCAACGCTAAAAAGACCTCCATGCACCACAAATACCTTCCCGTTGATTACATGAGCCAATGGTAAACAACAGAAGACCTCTGCAAAGAGCTCCACAAACTTATCGTTCAACTTGGCTCGGACCTCGCCCTCAAAACCATATATCTTGTTCATACTCTTACTTTCGTGATTTCCTCTGGCAAGATACATAGCTACAAGTATAGACCAAATTCAGTAAACTAGAATACCAATAGGAGCAGTATAAATGTTGTTATCAATATATAATCTGTAAACTAGAAGCAAAATATCCCATAATTCATACAAACATTACAATATGAAGACAGATGGCATATACCTGATGGACACATGCACTTAAAGGCAAATAATGTGAGGATGACTTCAACAGAAAATGATCCTCTATCAACAAAGTCACCGTTGAAGAGATATGGGTTATCTTCTGAAGGAAGTCCATTTAGCTGGAAAATGTTGACAAGATCGTAGAACTGCAAGGGAAAACATAAACTTAGTTTGAAGGGAGACGATCATCGAGACACGTACCATTATGCACATAAAATACATTATAATAATGCAGTAGAGTGAATTACCTGCCCATGTACATCACCACAAACAGTGAAATGTTTTCCTTCCGGAACATCAATATCAACCAGAGAGGGTAGAGCTTGCAACATTTCTCTGATTTGTAACACTATCTGGAATGCATATCTGCAAAATTGAAAGTCCATAGTTATAGCAGCATGAAACTTCGAATAAAGTTAATCCACAGGATTATCTGAAACAGGATTTCCTTTCCAACAACACCTTCTATGCAAGCGCTTTTCATTCTTGAAGTCATCCATCATCTTCTTAACAAAGTCCAATGTGATGGTATCTCCCTCTATCCTTGCACCAGTGTAGTTGGGCTCCACTTCTGAAAACATACAAATAATATCAATCATAGATAGAACCATCATAAGATTTTTGGCTCCCTTAAAATAACACTTTGTAAAGAACAAGGGAATTTTCCAGGAACAAGGGAATATATGAATGTATGAAGGGAAGTTATAAATAACACATGGCACTATAGTTAGTTTATGACAGAAAGCAAACACCTATTAAGCTTATTGAAGTTCAGCTGTTTGGTGGCAAAATTTCATTTGCACTGAAATCATCATTTAAAATTATCTAGAGAAACCTATGGCCTATTGGCTGGATAGCCTAAAGAGAACAAGAAAACGTTGATGGTAAACCCTTGCATCTCCTGTCTAAACAAAAGATAAACCAATATACAAAAGAACCTTGGACTTAATAGCAGTTAAACCATGCATGCAACAGGCAATTCGCTTATACAGCTTCTAAAGCCTCTATGCTCAAACCTAGGTCAAGCACAGGTCTCTTGGTAAATAAACCACTACTCCAGCCACCCCATAAAATTCCTAACACAACCAGTATCACCATCAGCACTCCCACCACCAGTGCGGGCTTTGCTGTTCGCACCAACATCACAGCTGCTGCGGTAACTGCCACTGCTACCGGTACTATGACCACTTGGGTGGGCACAGATGATGAACTGGGGCCCTTCCCTATTACCATCAGACAAGCAGAATACAATCTAACCATTATTCCTCGTCCACAAGAATAATGGCTTTAATTATGAAAATAAACTAAAATATAACCAGAGAAATCAAAATAATGAAGTTTTATGAGATCAACTTTCGAGCAACTAATAATACACATTTCTCAAGCTGCAAATTTCGAACATCGTCCAACTATCACAGGTGGCATCTTCTGTTACTGTTTACTAACAAGGATCTCCCAGGTCAAAACAGCCATTTCTTCATCATTCCTTGTTTGTTTAACAAATCTTAAATCTAGAGCTTTGGTAGGTCTAGCAAAGTAGTAAACCTATCCAAACGAACTAGCACAGAGGATTACCAAGGATAATTACAGGCCAATCAAAGCAAGCAGATAAGGACTGGCGTAGGGAAATAAAAAGATTTTGTAGCATATGACATTTAACTCCAATAGGTGATCCACTCACCATGCTACAAACTTTACTGACTATGAACCAAACAGTAAAGACGTTCACTAAGATCCAACTTGCACAAAGGGGTTCTCAATTCTAGTAGGATCCCAAGTGAAGAGCAAATAACCAGAGGATAAGCCTGAGTTTTAGATGGTGCGCAATTCTTTGCAGTAATCCATGCTAAATTCTAAGTAGCTGACATAAGTGTCTTTCACAAAGTAAAATAACTAGTTAGATTTTGTTAAAATAGTATCCTAAGTGAGATCGCAGTGTTCTTCACTAAATTCACCGAAGAAAATATATGATAGATTCCACACACAACTGTGAGCATTTTGTAAAAGCATTGAATGAGAAAAACATGGCTGTCCCATACATGTTACAATATATTTATTTACCGACCATTGGGGTGTTAATTCACTATAAGCAGGCAGGTACAAAGAAATAAAGAAAGAAGCCGAGATATGGAGAGTAACTAAAAACAGGGGGGGGAAGGTCAAGGAAAGGATTTACCAATGGATCGGAAGTCAATAGACTCAGCAACAGAGCGCCTTTCAGCCACTGGTGCAGCAATTGCTTCTTCAAACTTGAGCTTCATGACAGCCTTCTCACATTCCTTTAATTTCTTGCTAGCATCAGGATCATTTGGACGGATTTTCTTGACCTAGATTCAAGAACCAATATATGCATCATATATTTGCATGCAGATGATGAAATCCAAATATCAGACATATTTCAGGGCCTAATATGATTTAGATGAATAATGTCCACATGCTATTAGACATGAAATAACAAAAAATTTAAGCAGTTAGTTGGACACCCTTTTAGTCTAGTTTAGGCATTTAATCTAAGAGCAAAAGTAGAAATGAAAAAAACATACATCATACAGTTGCGCAAATAATTGAAGACCTCAGTCTTTGATCGACGGAATAGTACAACAAAATAACAGCAGTTTCAAAAATATTTGCTGGTTCGAACAGCAAATTGAATAAACTCATTCATAGTAGTCCAATCTGAAGGACCGAACTAATAAAATAAATTGAATAACCTCAAAGGATGATAGCGTGGACGCACATTTGCCCCACCTATGAACAAATAATAACAGACTTACAAAGTAGAACAGAGGCGAGAGCAATTTGGGGCAAAATTGGACACAGCCTATCAACAATGAAATAATTTAGAGCGCCGGAAAGTATTTTTTGTACCAGACAGAAGTAAGCTAATACAAGATCAGATTTTGGTGCCAGCATAACTAGAAGAAACTTATGCGTTCAATACCTATTTGCCAAATAGTCAACCAGATTGTTGATAGAATATTTGTAGGTTTTGGTGGTTAAATCTCAGACCTGATTTTCTTGTTATTGAGCAAACTACAATAAAAATCTAGAGCATTGCAGATTTGAACCTTAATCATTATTTAAAGGATCTGTAATCTCGTAAGTACTGGTATTGAAGAAGAGTCCTCTTTGTTCTACTTAAAGACAACTTACAACAAATAGTCCCTGGCAATAAAGTTAGGCGATTCAGAACAGAATTCCTTTAGTGATTCTCTGAATTTCCCTCCAAGCTTTGAACAAGCACTAATATCAGACATTTTAAGCACATACCTGTTGGAAATCCTTCAGTGCTTCTTTGAATTTCCCCAAAGCTAAATAACCAGCACCCCGCCTGTAATAGCCCTGTAATCCAATTAACAATCAGAACATAGAAACCATACAAGTATTACAAAATTGTTTGCACAAGTCTTAGGACAGGGACTGCCTTTGAGTATTGGGGATCGATTTCGATAGCTTTTGAAGCATCTTCAATTGCGCTACCATACTCCTCCAGTTTAGTGTGCGCAAAAGCACGGTTTGCCCAGTAAACAGCATTCTGACCATTTAATTCAATTGCTTGCGTATAAAGGTCAATAGCCTGATTGTATTTATGCGCTGCAAAATGAATCGAATGGCATTATAGGAAATATATACGTATCTAGAAAGAAATTGAACAACAGAGTTAACTTATAGCACCCTGCTCAAAAGTGTTTCTAATTCAGTCTAAATAGAACTCAGATCTTAGTAATATCCAATCTGACAGACAACGAACTCGTCACAGAAGCTTTCACTGTCAGTACCTTTAAAAGCTTCATTAGCCAGCACTTTTATCTCTTCAGCTCGTGAAATAGTTGAGCTATTAGCTTCCATCTTTAAAATAAGTACAGGAGTCTTTGTTTAGCCTGTTTGACAGTCACCAAGCAGTGGATTCCATAGGTACCTTACAGCCACTTGTTACGATTCTGTCTATACCACGAGAGAGCACATACACAAATAAACCAATCATTAGAGCTAGAAGCTCAAAGGAGTAGACTGCGAACTCTATAAAGCAACACAAACAAACACAATAACTTAAGTTTAAGAAGCAACTTCTTGATAAAACCTGACACTGCGAGGAAGAGAAGGTAGAATGCATGCCCTTCTGCATCTCAATACTAGGAATGAGATGCCTTTCATACAGTATTAATATAATACAATAAGACACAACAACACCAACCAAGGGGATAAAAAGAAGATACTGCCCTATATAACTTGCTGACTAGCATATTTTCAGGAGCTTATGGAAAGAGATGCATATAATAGAACTTTCATAAGCATTACACACTTAAACCTTCAAAGCCTCTGCATGGTTCGCTCAAGCAGGAAGTGAGAGACCGGTATAGTGCAAGGAACTCGGCGTAACTAATAACGGGTAATGGCCCAGGTGTACCATGCAAAACTGATTGGGTAGGCAAAGTTGAGAACTTCACCAGCAAAACAGTCAGCGAAGAACTAGATAAGGAACGAAATCAAATATTCATTCAACTCTATTCATAAGCAATAACGTCTTCTTCTATCTAGCCTATGAGCTATTGCTTCTTCCCACTGCCAGAAAAATCATGCAACGACTGCTAACAACTCATTCTCCAGAAGACCCACAGCGAAAATAGCAAATTAGCTAAGTAACCCTCGCTAGTTTAATACCCCATCACCAGCAAAGCACTACCCATTAAAGCACAACAAAACTCTTGTCAAGCGAATAAAGATGAATGGATTCAACAGGACATAAACGCGGAGAGTCGCCGGCAGAAGAGAAGTGCCAGCTAAACTCACATGCGGGGGTTCTAGTCGCTTCGAAGCTTGATTCTTCTATCCGTGATCTCTCTGTTCACTGCCGCTGATTCTCTTCTGAACTGCTCGTCGCCGCAGTCGCCAGAGCTGTTAAGTAGGGTTTCGAACTTTTTATTTTCAATTATTTCTTTATCCTCGCTGGTTTGCCCCTTTTAGCATAGCAACAGGTGAGGGTATAGTGCATATCCGTTTTTTCATCTAAAGTAGTTTCGGTTTTACTCATATCCATACTCAGATAAAAAACGGGTAGAAAATCAAAACCATGCTTATATACGTTTGAGTTTCGGGCTTCGGGTATTCACGATTATCCATGGATAATATTTCTCTTTATAACTCCGACCAATATGTTAACATTTACATGTATACTCACATTACGTAAGAGGAAAAGTACGACAATAATTCATTAGAATGAAAAAAATTAATTAAAACAGCACAATTTCATGAAAATATCATATTTATATGATAAATATAAAATCTGCTCGAGAAAAATTTTGATTATTTCTAGATAAAATACATATACATGTGTATAATCGGGGGGGTTCGGGTTGAATAGTGAGAAACTCATGCTCATCCATCCCGCAATATTCGGGTTCGGGTTTTATCCATACCCACTAAAAGTCTTTCGGATTCGGGTTTTACCCTATCCAATTAGATCGGATTCATGCAGATATACATGGTTACGGATATTTTTTTCATCCCTAGCCCCTTTCTCTATAGCAGTAGCTCGAGGACTGAAGTCGTAATCGATATAGAGGAAAAAGGGTAAATTGCAAGTTTGGTTACTGAAATTACTATGAAGTTTCACGTTTGCCACTAATTATTAGTTAATTCCAATGCTGTCAAAGCCGAGCCGGAGTATGACCCGGTAACGTGAACGGCTTGGTCATTAGCGGTCCAGCCGACATTAGACCGTTTAAAAATCGTTTGAGAACCGGTACCTAATAAACAATCATCTGTAATAGTAGACACTTCTTAATCATGGTAAACCACAAGTAAATTACTCTCTTAAACCATTCTAGAACATAAGTACTGAAAAATCTAAAATTCAATTCCAAACCACCACATTGTTCCAAAATAGAAGCAATACCACACGAGTCTGAACATTAAACAAGAGTCTTAAACATGGAAACCACTCAAAGTCTCAAACTCAAACAACTATCAAATACATCATACTGTCAGAATCTAATGCAGAGTTAAATGAGGAACTCGGGTTTTTGAGGGGTAGACTTGAACGTCTGGACTCTGGAAGCTTACTTCAATCGTTGTGAGGAGACAAAATTAGTTTTTAAGGGGTAGACTTGAACGTCTGGACTCAGGAGGTCGGCTGTTCTTTGCGGCGGTGAGCAGGGCAGTCTTCACGGCGACTGGCAACGATGGCGACGGGACTGGGTTTCTCTCGATGGCGACGATGGCGACGGCGACTGGGTTTCTCTCGATCGCTTGCGAGGGCGATTGGCGACGATGGCGACGGGACTGGGTTTCTCTCGATGGCGATGATGGCGACGGCGACTGGGTTTCTCTCGATCGCTTGCGAGGGCGACTGGCAACGATGGCGACGGGACGGCGAGCTGCTTGCGGCGGCGAGCTGCTGGCGATGGTGGACGGAAGCGCTGGCGATGGTGGACGGCGCCGCTCTCCTTTCCTTTGTTCAGGTCGAAGAACTGGAGAAAGAAAAGGAAAGGTAGGGTTTTCAGTTTTGTTTGGCTGGCGGCTGCCCAATTCCAATTCCATTTTTTTTTTAGGTTAATTAAACGGCTGAACCGACCAACCGGCTCGAGCGGCTCGAGCGGCTCGACCGCTTTGGCCGCTTGCTGGCCGCCGTATTAAACCGTAGCGGCTAAATAGCTGATCCGAGCCGGTTTTGTGGCCGGGTGGCGGCTTTGGCGGTCCGGCCGGCCGGCTCGGCTCGGCTTTGACAGCACTGGTTAATTCAATCCATAGTCACTAAAATTAGTTCAAGAGTTCAAGATTGGACACTCTCCGTTAATCTCCGTAAACTTTATCTGACGTGGAAGTTAACTCTGAAGGTTGAACCGTTAAATAAGTGACGTGGTAATTAAAAAATAATAAAGTAAAATATTTAAAAAATCTACCTCATTATCACAATAAATTGCAACGATTTAATAAACACAAATTTCTAATTATAATAACTTTTATGTTTTATTTATTTTTAATTTCCTATCCGCCAACAATAATCAAAATTAAAAAACCACAACCGTCCTCAACCCCACTCCAATCCTCAATCTTCTCTTGTCCACCTTTGTTCCCGAAACCAGCTCTTCCCACCATCGTCTTCAACTCCCCTCAAGATCGCCAACACCATGAGCTGGCTCTCAAGGACCACAAATTCCTTCATCCTCTCCTCGAAGCTTCGCGCCATCATTGGCGACATCGTAGTGTTCGAGAACCAAATTACGATATACTCTCTGTTCCTCCCGAACTTTCAACGATTGTGGCTACGATGATGGGCTCTTTCTGCTATGGAGAGGAGCTAGGAGGGTCCGTGGTCGTCTTTCCGTTGGATTAAGTACTCCATCTCGGCGCTGCCATCAAGAGCTCTGCTTTCGATGATCTTGTCAACCTCGTAGTAGGCGCCCTCGCCTTAGATTGATTGCTGAGTTTCTTAGTCTTGGACGGCAGAGAGGGAAATGGTGTAAGGTTTATGGATTTGGTGGGGAAGCCAGAGGAGCAACCGCCAACGAGAACTCAAAGCCCCTTTGCGTTCTATTCAATTGAAGGGAGTGGCAGAGGGGTAAAGAGATTGGAGAACCCTACTCACCGAATCGTCGCCATCTCTTCCCAAATTTAGATCGAGAATCCCTAAACCCAGAAATCCCCAAATCATTCCACCGTCAAATCATCGACATCTATTTCCAACTTTCTAGATTGAGAAATGTAATCGCCGCCGCACCTCCCTCGGCGTGTCCCTTCCTCTCCCCAACTCGAGATATGGAGACAAAGAACCCATCTAGGTAACTCCAACTATGAAGAAACCGACCGTCGTCGCAAACTTGTCACGGCAACGGCGAGGAAGGCCACCGGCGGCAAGTCCACAAGGAAGAAGCTAGCAACCTTTGGTTACTCGTCGGACTGCGGTCGAGTGGTTTTTGGGGGCGAAGGAGAGAGGGACTAGGTTCTTGACCTGAAAGGCGATCGTGGGCTTTAGAGAATAAAAAATTATTTTTACTTTTTAATAGTAAATAAGGTGGAATTTTAAAAGATTAAATTTTATTTTTAACTATATTTTTTATTGCCACATCACCTATTTAATAGTTGACTTTCAGAGTTGACTGCCACATCAGATAAAGTTAATGGAGACTAACGGGGAGTGACCAAACTTGAATTGTTCAACTATTTTTAGTGAACATTAATGGAGTAAACTAATTTTAGTGGCAAACATGAATATTCATAGTAATTTAAGTGCCCAAACTTGAAAATTTACCCAGAGGAAAAATATTTAGGACATCACAAAACGATCACAAACATTCTTACGTCGTATAAACCGACCCCCTTCTTTTTGGCTTGCGGAGAAAAATCAACAATAGGTGTGCAATGGTCCAGTCCGGTTCGGACTAGATCAACTTATTGAGAATCACAGTCTAATAGAACCAAAAAATGGATCAATATTGTATTCGGATCGATTTGATTTGATTTGGTTTGGTCCGGTCAAAATGTCAATTCAGTTCAATTTTCTTATGTGTTTATAGAATCATGTGAACCCAGAATCGGGCCATAATTGGTTTGGTATGATACGGTCCAAGCATCGATTTGGTTCGGTGTGGTTCGATACGAAACAAACCGCTACACACCCTTAACCACGATAAATTGTATTAGCTTGAGTCGGAGACGATGTTTTTAGTTAAAATAATTTGTTCATACTCGATGTTAATGTCGTAACTTACGTGAAAATTGGTGCATTATGGTAGTATAGAAATGAATAATATTTTCTATAGATTACTAACTCTATAAAATAGGAACATGATTCATCCCAAAAAAAACAGGAACATGCCTCGTGAATACACATCATCATATCTTGTTGATTAAAAACACATCATCAACAAATTATCATGCCACAAAAATCTCATTAATCTCTAGATTTATTTCTAGGTCATCAATCCAAATTCATCTTTAACCCAATTCCTCATGGTATGACTTTCATTAATCAAGTCGTATATCGACATAAAATCATAAACTTACCTCAACTCATGAATCCATCATATCAATCGTTCATTTAAGTCAACTCATCATTTAATCATCAAGCATGTCAATCATTCATCCATAATCAAATCACCATTTCGGCGCAACCATATCAATCTCTCAATCAATCATCAATCAAATGTCACTTTACGATTTCCTTCATGGAAATCATCACCATCATATATATCATATGCAATGCATGAAATGCAGACTCTCCATTTATTATTAATTTGCGCGCTAAGGTCACCATACGCCCACCCCGCTCGAGCTCATCATCTTAGTGGTTATATCAAAAACCACAATCTCATCAAATCTAGGATTATCATAAATCCTTTCATTAGGACCGCAGCCCAATCAATCTCATAGGGGTAGGCATAGGCCCTTCTATGTCTATGTGATTTAACATGATCAAACAATATCAATTTCTCTCTTCCATCATATCTCAATCGATCCAAGAAATCAACAGCGTCCCATTGATATTCCCAGTCCATACATATCTCACATCATCTATGCATACCTTGATGCATTGCATGATCTCAATATAATCATCATCTTCTCGATGATATAAATAATTCATTCTCTTCAATCAAACTTGACAAATCTAACAAGTACTCAATTTATCAATACATCATTCACTCATCGTAATCATTTAACACATCAAATACAAATCGATCATGATAATATCTCATCCACATCATCATTAATCAAAGCATTCATCATATCAACATTGCCACAAAATATCTCAGTAATATTTATATTTACCAATCACATTTATACCAATCGATATTCTAATCACGTCATACTAATACACGTCAATCGTATCACTATTACTCAATATCACTATCATCATCATGTCACAATCATACATATCAATCATCAATATATATTTTATTCATCATCAAATCATTTTACCATACGAACCATATAATCTACAACACATCAATTTATCCATA